CCCAGCGGCCGCCGGCATCTTGCCCACAGGAACTAGAGGAGGACCCGACCTGAGCTCCGTCCCTGTCTTCCCTCTGCTCTTGAGGACCTGGGCTGACCATACAGGAGAGACCGACATGGTCCCAACTCCATCCCTGCTTGGAGCGCTGCAGACTGGCCGGGAGAGGAGCCCTGCACCTGACCTCGGGGCCTCTGGAGTGTGGCCTGCCTGCCCCCTGGCCAGCTTTCAGGGAGACTCAGACCACGCTTGGAGCACAGCCTGGGGAGACCCTCTCCTGCTCGCTAGCCCAGGCACCGCCTCTCCCATCTCTGCTGACAGCAACTGCCACCCACTTTCTACACAGGGGATGGCGGAAGGTGGGGGGCCCGGAGCAGCAGGCGGCCGAGAGCCCTTGGGTGGGTTGAAGATGAAGCTCCCATCTGGGTGGATGTAGAGGTGGAGGGTGACCTGGGCACCCCCTGCTTCCTGGCCCCTTTCCTTCCATCCCTCCTGCTTCCCTTTCTCTCTACCTCCACTGGGCACGCGTGCTGGTTCTGCCCGTCTGGTCCACAGCATCCAGGGGCTCCTGAAGCCCTCCCTGAGGCCTCTCAGAACCCCAGCCACCTCTCCTTGGGGCAGAAGAGCAGGGGCCGGGGCGGCAGGTGGCTTGTCAGCCTTATTCCAGCCCCATCGAGACTGCCAAAGCAGGGTGTGCGGACTGTGAGCCACACCAGGGCCCTGGGGAGGGCACCCTGTTCTCAGCAGACCCACTGCTGATTGGCCCATTCATTCTGAGGGTTTCCGGGCAGATGGAAGTAAGGTGCCCCCCGGAAAGGGGTCCCGTTCCCAGCTGACACAAGGCTCATTGTGGACTGCTGGGGGCCGCACCTCAGTTGTGGCTCGGAGTGGTCCCACAGACCTGGCCCGTGGTGGGGCGCAGGGAGCCAACACTCCATTTTCTGGAATCCCCAGTGCCAGCAGCCCCGATTCCAGGCAGGAGTGGGACAGCCTGGAGGAGGCCTCCAGCGAGGGGTGGCCCGCACCCACAGACCCTTAGCTGGCCACTCCTGGGGGCTGCCCCCTTGAGGAAGTGGGAGGGTGCCCGGGGGCCCCCCTCCCCCCCCCTCTGCTGCACTTTCTCCCCTCCCCCTCTCCACAATCTGCTTCCTTCAGTTTGTAAAGTCGGTGATTATATTTTTGGGGGCTTTCCTTTTATTTTTTAAATGTAAAATTTATTTATATTCCGTATTTAAAGTTGTAAAAAAAAAATAACCACCAAACCAAACGAATTCGCTGGAGGTGTGACTGTTGACGGCGGCGGGCTCTCAGAGGGACCTTCTGCCCCACCCATCGCTGCGGTGCAGGGAGGTGCGGACACTTAACCAGACAGGTGCTTCCATCACATATAGGTGCATGCGCAGCCGTGCATACTTGTGGTCACGTGCACACGCATACACAAGCTCATATGGACCTGCACCTGCGAGCACGCAGGTCTGAGACTGGCCGCTCTGAGGGGTTCAGAGCCAGCCAGCAGCTCCAGCTGTGCAGACCCCGTGGCCCTTCCAGAGAGAACAAGAAGGGCATTTCTCCAGCCTGCAGGTCTCCCTAAGGGAAGAGGGTCCGCCAGCGTCATGGGGCAGGAGCACCCTGCTGGGGAAGGTGGGACAGGTGTCCTAGGGGCTGTGGGCTTTAGAAAGAAGCCCTGCTTCCAGTCTGCCCTTGGCCCAGCTTGTGCGGCCTTGAGCAAAGCCCCGCCCCCTCTGTGGGCAGAGACTCCTCTGAAGCCAAGATGGTCTGGGGGCTCCTGGACCCCCTGGCTCAGCTATGGGGCGGTGTGCTTTCCCTCGCACCCAAAGCCTAGGGTGCTGTCCCATGAACAAGGTATCCGATGGGCCTGAGTCCTACCTGCACACGCACTGGGGCTGATGGGAGAAGCCCAGGAGGTAGAGGGTCTGCTTCATCCTCGATTTAATCGGAAGCCAACATGCTGCTGCTGGAAGCAGTGAGCTTCCTGTCACTGGAAGTGTGTAAGGGGAAGCTGTGGCTGAGGTTTGGTTAAAGAACATTGGGCTTCCCACTGATTGATAGTGACCGATAGATCCACCCAATCACACACCTTCTTGGCTCTGATTGGCACCCAAGAAGTGTCTTTCCCTGCCTGGGGATTAGGTCATAATCTGATTTAAATGCATCCTGGGATTACTAACCCTGAACTTAAGGAAGTAGCGTCCACCACGGTGTGGTAAGGGAGGAGTGCAGATAGAAGGACTTACTGGAAATTCCTGTCCCTCCCTCCTGACCCTGAATGCCTAGCTCAGTTTTCAGGAAGATTGACTGGGAGGGAAATGGGACATCTCCTTTGAGAGATGACAGAGGGTGTCTGGGGGCCCACCTCTGCTGCTGTTAGTAGCATGGCTATTCCATGACTAAGGACTTCCCGGGGGACACAGGCAGAGCTGTCCACATTCCCCATGTCCCTGGGCACCATCCCAGGCAGCCAGTTTTGAGCCCTTGGGATTTCCCCAATCTCCTTGGACTTCCTGGATCTGGTTACTGCTTACACCTGGCGAGTCTTCTCTGGGTCTTTGACTCGGCAGGCGAAAATGGCGTTCTCCAAGAAATCCCACTTCTGGTGTGGGGGCAGGGGCGGGGAGAGAAGGCAGCCCCCCCTTCCTTTTTTTAAATCCCTCTCTCCATCATGTAATGTGAATGTGAAGTTTGGTGCTCAGACATCGTGAAGTTAAAAGTCAAGGTTGATGGAGCAAGAGTGTGTTAGTTGGGGTTGACTAGAGAAACAAATCCAGAGACACTCGTGTGTAAGAGAGAACTTTATATCAAGAAGTCATTATGCATCAATAAAACATCCCAGCCCGGTCTAGACAAGTCCATAACTTAAATATCAGCCCATATGTCCGATATTAGCCCATACATTCCTCTTCAGACTCACGCAGTGCATGCAATGATGCCAAATGCAGGAAGATCACAGGCCGGTGGATGGAAAGTCCTGTGGGTCCAGTGGTGGTAGGGGCATCTCCAGGGCTCTGGCTGCCATCAGCATAGCTCCGTGTGGCTTGTCAACAGAATGTGAAGCAGAGAGTGTGTGTGTCCCACCTCCAGGGAGGAAGACAGGAGTTCCCAGAATCCTCAGGAGAAGGCCACGCCCACACAGAGGCCTCATTGGCTATGACCTGATTGACAGGCTAGACTCCTCCCCCTCGCTCAAGTTGACAGGAAATGATGTGACTGCCACAACGATGAACAGGGTCAGGGTCCCGGTGGACGCCGCGACCCTAGCTGTGCCCCCTAGCCGTGCGGTCCTAGCTCAGGATCTTTTATGTTGGTCAATTAAAAAAAATTTCTTTTCAAAAACGGGTTGCTGTTGTTGAGAACAAACAGCGGAAACACACACCAATTCAAGTGCCACTTGTGGAATTCAGGGTCACAGGTGACTTTCTTGGAGTGCTGCCACTGTGCTCACCCTCTTCTGAGCTGTTCCTCCACCGGTCACACAAACTCAGCCCCCTGACATTCTTACCGGCTCCTCCGTGTTGCCACTGCCAACCCGATCCCAGATATGTCCCCAAATTGCCCAGTGCTCAAGGAAGACGTTGGTTACTCGGTAAGCGAACCTTGCTTGGCTTTCAGATGGCTTCCGCAGGCATTTGTGATTTAGGACAATCATTTCAGGGGTTCACCCAACCTCATGCCCCAGTGGCATGGTGGGTTAAGCACAGGGCTGCTACTTGAAAGGTCAGCGGTTCCAACCCACCAGCTGCTCTGAGCAAGAAAGATGTGACTGCTCCCATAAAGATGTGCTGCCTCAAAAAGCCCATGGGGCCTCCTCGTCTGTCCTGTAAGGTTGCTGTGAATCAGAATCAAGTGGACAGCAGTGAGGTGGGACTGGTTTGGGTGCCCCACCTCCATAGCTCCAGAAAGGTCCAGATTCCAGGGGATTTTGAAATTCGGTTATGCACGTCCCCCTCTTTCTTTTTTTTAAAATCGTTTTATTGGGGACTCATACAACTCTTATCACAATCTGTACATTCTTCCGTTGTGTCAAGCACATTTGTATATTTGTTGCCCACATCATTTTCTACTTGAGCCCTTGGTATCAGCTCCTCCTTTTTTCCCATCCCTTCTCTCGCCCACCCTCCTTCCCTTACAGATCCTTGATAATTTATAAATTCTTATTTTGTCATGCCTTACACAGACCGATGTCTCCCTTCACCCACTTTTCTTTTGCCTATCCCCCTGGGAGGGGGTTATATGTAGATCATTGTGATCGGTTCCCCCTTTCTCCCCACACTTTCCCCTTCCCCTCCTGGTATCACTACTCTCAATATTGGTCTTGAGGAGTTTATCTGTCCTGGATTCCCTGTGTTGTGAGCTCTTATCTGTACCCAACGCCCCACCTCTTTCATGATAAGTTTTCTATAGAGTCTTTGATCAAAGTGTTTAGTAATGGTAGTTGGGCACCATCCAGGGCTTCTGGCCTCCTGGCCCAGGAGGCAGTTGCTCATGGAAGCGATTAGCCACACATTCCATGGCCTCCTCCTACCCCTGGTCCCCTCCTTCCCCTGTTGCTCCGGAATGATTTCTCATGCCTTGGATGAAGCTCAGGAGTTTCGTGTCAGACGGGAACAGGGTTCCTTCCCTTGTGAGTTACTCTTATTGCACTTCTGATGATGGGCCACTGATGTTAATCCTCCCAGATAGTGCTGGTCGCTTTGGCGTTAGCTTATTCTTCCACACACCTTGGGGCCGGGGTTCATCTTTGCCGTAGGCATGCGCCCCCCCCTATCCAATGTCTGGTTCACAGCCCATTTTCCTGCCCGTCAGACTTTCCTCACAGCATCACAATCCGCAGCAGGAGCGCGTAACTCTCTGTAGCCCTCTTTGAAAGCTCAGCATGCTCGCTCCCTCACCGTCAACGAGTGGACTTGACTCACAGCCATCCCTAGGACAGAGTAGACCTGCCCCTGTGGGTTTTCGAAACGTTGGATCTCTATGGGAGTAGACAGCCTTGTCTTTCTCCCAGGGGGGCAGTTAGTGGGTTTGAACCACTGACCTGGTGGTGTCCAGCTCCATGTGTAACCCACTGTGCCACCAGGGATCCTTCAGCATGCAAGTTCTCTGTAGACTAGCAGAACGACGCATGGTTACAGCTTCGGAAGTAAATATTCATGGGCTCGTCACACCCATAAGACTGCTTTAAGGATGAGAGGGGACTATGAACAGTTTAGTGAAGGCGAAGTCCTGCATGAGATCTCACTGCTGCTGGGCTCTCGGAACTCACCTCCATTCTCCACTACTGATGCCATGGCCAGGGCATGCCTTACTGTTTCTCAGTGTCCCCTCAGGGGTCCTGGGACCCCAATCCCTGTCTATACATAAACCTGGGCACAGCCCCAATGTAGCCGTGACCAAGCGCCCGTTCCCAGTTCTCTATCAGACCCACCCCTGACCTTTCTGCCGGCCCCCACGTGAGGCTCAACCCACCAGCACGCCCTGCTTGGTCCAGCCTTTCCCAGGGACAGACGCTCACTTCCTCAGCCTCCTCTTTCTACCTGTTCTGTTGCTCTCCCCAATACTCCATCTGTTTCACGCAACTTGCCCACCTTCCCTTGACCTCCCTGCTCCGGATGGAAGTTCCACGTAGAATTGTTTCATTCACCACTCTCCCCAGAGTCTGGAATAATGTCGGGGACATAGCAGACCCTCAATGATGCCTGCGTGTTGTGTTGCAATGACCCACACTTGCTGAATGAATGCGCATAAAGGCTTGTTATTGGTAGTCGCAGCTTCCCTAGCTGATCTTAATTTTAATCACATACACACCTGGTTGTGTGATTGAAAAGGCTACTCTGAGGGTGACACAAATTACCGACTAGCTTGTCCTCCACTTCCTGGGTACGTTCTTGCTTCGAGTAGTGTCTCCATTGGTTATAAGCTCCTCAAGGGTTGGGATCCTGTTGAGTCCACCTTCTGAGGCTACCTCCTTCATATTTCCATACCCAAACCTATATATCTGTCTATCCATGCACACACACACACACACACACACACACACACACACACACACAGAACTCTACTCATGCATTCATCTACCTACCTACTCACCCACCCACGTATTCACCCTTCCACCCACCTCCCTTCCTCCCTCTCTATTTAGCACTCTCTTCATGTCTAGGCACTGTACTCACCACTCCATCTTATTAATCTTTGAGGAGATTGGTGCCA